CTGCCATTTATGTAAAGCTTTCTTGGTCTTGTTGTAATAAGTATGATATCATCTTGTTCCTGCTTGTATTTCTGGTTTTTCTTGTGCTTGTAAACAATACCATTTTCTACCCTGTGATTTATATGTTCCAGTCAAGAAAGCATGCAACAAAATTCCTACCAAAATGATGCTGCGATGGAGTTGATCAATAATGTCACAGGTGCTGATGAGGAGGGCAGATCTAACCAACGGATTCTTGTATATGCTGCCAAGAGGTACTATCATCTTGTTTTTATTCACTTTTCACACTTTACTGTTGTATTGAGCTTGCCATATTACTGTTTCATAGTCCTGCTATTCCGTAGTAGTGATTTGCAGTCAAATTTTGTAGGTATGCTACTGCTCTAGAGAGAAACCCAGAAGATTATGATTCTCTTTACAACTGGGCTTTGGTTCTTCAGGTTTGAGATATTGATTCATTTTGATTAACATCTTTCAGAATTATATATCATGTCCTCATATTCATATTTGGCTAGGACACCTTGCAAAACATTGTCAACTTAAGCATATTGTAATCATTGTAAAATGTTGGATTGCTCTTATCATGTCCGCACTGTTCTTATTTGGCTTGCAGGAAAGTGCAGATAATGTTAATCCAGATTCGACTTCACCTTCTAAAGATTCCTTGCTAGAGGAGGCTTGTAACAAGTATGATGAGGCAACTCGTCTTTGCCCGACACTTCATGATGTATGCATGCTTGTCCATTTATGTGACGATCCTGTTGCATTACTTTGAATTTATGATTTTTAAAGTTCTGTTTAATTGGAAAAGGCATGATGATTGCGCAGAATGTAGAATCCAGATACGAAACTGAATACACAATAGAAACGAGTGTATAGCTGTATGAGTGCATATATATACACACAAAGAAAGGAGTCTGTACAATATATATATATATATATATTTCATGATATAGCTTGACAGGCTTTCTACAACTGGGCAATAGCAATATCTGATCGAGCAAAAATGCGTGGTCAGACAAAGGAGGCTGAAGAACTATGGGAGCAGGTTCTGACTATATAATTTTGGTATTTCAGTCATAGACGTTTGTATGAGTAACACTAGCCTTTTTTTGTTGGAAAATTTCGGTGTCTTGTCATGGAAAACCTTTGCCGTGTGTGGATAAGATAGCATTTCCTTTTCTGTTTCATGTTAACCACATGCTGTTATATAATCCATTTGAATAAGGCCAAAGAACCATGGGAATTGGTTGACTGTAGAATTTTGGTATATGGTCAATCTAAAATTTATTACAGAAATGCATTGTCCTTGTGGTACTGCTGGGTAGTAATCCTTGGCCTTTTCTAATAATTGCCTTGTTGTAGTGAATAAATACCTTGAAGTTGGGTTTGATATAGCCTAATCATATTGTTATGGGTTTGATATAGAGCCCTCAGGTATGTTTGAAGTAATTGGTTAGTCTTGTAATTGTGCTAACTAGAGTGACTCTATCTTTCATTTTTATTCTACCTGTTAGTGATTTTAAGTATTCTTAAATCTCTTTCAGGCACTAAACAATTGGGGACTTGCTCTTCAGGTAAACTATGTTTTCGTGATGTTGATATTATAATTAGCTTCATTTATCTCCATTTCTTTCAAATTAAATTCTGAGTCTTCTTCTATGGAATCCTATAATGCTTTGCTTACTTTCATGTCTTATCATGTATTCTTTAGGAGCTCAGTGCGATTGTTCCAGCATGAGAGAAGCCAAAAATTGTGAGGACTGCAATTAGTAAGGTACAAAAGTCATTTGGAGAAATCAGAGTGCTTGGATGACTATAGGAACAACCAGCAAAGTAATTTGACATCTCATATGTCCTAAAAGAATAATTCTAGTTGTATTTTCTATTCTTACAATATCCTTTGCTTCTGATGCAGTTTCGTGCTGCAATACAGTTGCAGTTTGATTTCCATCGAGAAATATACAACCTCGGAACTGTTTTGGTAAGATTGTTGGTTATTACCAGTTCTTATATTAGATGGAATAATCCTATTCTCACCTATGATTTATTTCTTTGTGATATTAATGAGATTAGATAATGACTTCATTATCTGAACATTTTATTCAAGTTTAAGTGAAGCATAAATTCAAAACTTAAAATACCTATATTTTTAATTGCAGTATGGACTAGCTGAGGATACCTTAAGAACTGGAGGCTCAACAAATCCAAAAGAAGTTTCCCCAAATGGGCTTTATAGCCAGTCTGCTATCTATATTGCAGCTGCTCGTGCATTGAAACCAAATTACTCTGTAAGAAATAAGTGTGTTCTTGGAACTGACTAGATGTAGTATCACTTTCAGGCTATATAGGTGGCATAATTATTGGCTAATGAAATTTTGCGGCATAAATTTTACAAGAAAACTAATGATATACTTCTTCGTTTTCTCCTTAATTTAAAGTTTCAAAGTTATGCAATTTGACTTCCCATCTTAGTTTTGTGGATATGTTCTTATTTGATGTTTTAAAACGTACAGGTTTACAGCAATGCCTTGAGGCTTGTTCATTCAATGGTTAGTATGTTATCTTTCAACAATATTTTTGAGGTTTATTGTTTTCTAAATTGATTGAATATTCCGTAAGTAATGTTGAGTCTATTAGCCATGAGAATGATCTCTTGCTGCTTTCCCTGGTTAATTATAATTTTCAAGGATTTTTTAATATTATAGGATGAATGTTTTTCAGTGTTATCCATGAATTCCTCATTTCTTTCATGTCATTGCATCAGTGCTGTTTTTAACTGTCAATTATCATGCAATGTAACTGAGTCTTTGAGCTGCACCTGAAACTGTTGTTTTGATTTAAAATGCCCTTCCCCTTAGGCACTTCAGGAGCATATCACCTACAATTCTTTTACTATAATCCTATAATTTTCCAATCATGATATAAAATTTTGTAAGAGTCCACCATTTATAAGTTTGGGCTCAGCATAAAATTTTGATGGATCTCACAATTCTGAATTGAGATCAGTTAATTGTACTACAATTATTGTAGGAGAAATGCTTCCTATGAACTGCATGCCTAATCCAATGTTTTTTTATAGTATTCCTTTGGCTTGGATGTAAACCTTTTCAATGATTGGACAATCCTTACTCGCATCGGTGTTCATTTCTTTTTGTTCACAACATAAGTCATTTCACATAACTGTAAAACTTTCAGTTAATATGGCCTAGCAATACCTCCTTGCAGTAGTGATCTTGTGTTCAAATCATAATAAACATAATTTTATTAAAAAATATAATGGCAAGGAACTCAATTCCTATTCTTTCTCCCTCTTCTTTTTTGAGTGTGTCTGTCTGTTAGGAAAGATGGTTTTTCTCATTTATGGTTTCATGTTTAAACCGGGCAGCTCACCTGGTGAAGAGAACTACTGACTGGTTAGAAAACAAATGGTTGTCACAGTCATTACTCTGTTTATACTCAAACGAATTAGCTGGGAAAATTATTTTCTATTACAAGTCTGACAAAAAAATTTTTGACAGCTACCTTTACCCCATCTTAAAGATGGGTATCTAACTGCACCAACAGTAGGAAACACAATTGCACCTCATGGTGATTGGAAGAGAAGAGAGTTCTTTTTGAATCATGAAGTGCTTCAACAGGTAAAAAACTGATTGGTTTTTTCATTGTCCATGGTAAATAAATATCAAGTTTCATTTTCATCTTTGCCTGAGTATGGGGATTCATTTCTTCAAGCCAATTTTGATATTTAAATGTCTGAACTTATGTGATTGTAAATTCCTTGAGAAGTTGGAATGAATCATAGAGTATGAGCAAATATGTGCTTGTTGTAAGTCACTTTCATTTTAAATTCCAGGATGTTATCTACACAAGGAAAACTAATATAAACTGTTACACAACGTACTAAGGGTGTGTCCGTGTGTATGAGAGAGAGAGAGAGAGAGAGAGGTGGGAATAGGGTTTATCTCCAGTTGATGCTGCTGGTCGATGTCAGTTTATCCTTGTATGCATTGCTTTACTGTTTCATTGCTTTGGCAGTCGCACTAATCTTGGACTAGTTAAAGGCCACATCTGTTCAGACTTTCATTTTCTTTTCTCCATATCCTTCTCTTCTATTTTCCAATTGAGCAGGTCATCAGAGTCGAGCGGAAACAAGTTTCCCGAAGCCTCTTTAGCAGAACTGCAGATGTAGCAAATATTGACAAAAGGGCCATCAGAGTTGATATTCCAGATATTGTTTCTGTATCAGCATGTGCTGATCTGACTTTACCACCAGGTGCAGGCCTCTGCATTGATACAACTCGGGGTCCAGTTTTGCTGGTAAGTATATCATGCTTTATATTTTCATTCTAAAAGTTTCGTCTCAAATCTTAATAAAGGAATGACGTCTTTCATGCTGTTGGCAAACTTGACAATTATTTGCTAGATGTGCCAATGTTTGTCGTTTGGATGCTATTTTAGCAATATATATATGTATGGCAATCCAGCTTTAGCGAGTATTGTCTGCACTGCCCTTCAGGTTGCAGACTCATGGGAATCCCTAGATGGGTGGCTTGATGCTATCCTGTTAGTTTACACAATTTATGCACGAGGTAAGACTGATGTTCTAGCGGGTATCATTACTGCCTAATTATTTCTTATATATTGATCTGACATTTTTTGTCGAGGTTTTTTACGTCTGTCTTCAAATTTGGTTGAATCTAGTTTGATTCATGTATATTATCAAAATTTTTGGAATACTGTAAGGTTAAGCTAATTTCTGTCAAATTATTCATTTGGCATCTTAAATGATATCATATTTCTTTTCCTGCGTTTTATATCCTTTGAAAATTCTAAATGTAAAGTTGGAGGGTGGATTGAAGTTGAACCACTCTTCACTTCCCCATTTGATGATATCCAGTGTGATCGAGTGGTTTTAGACTATTAGTTTGATCTCAATTTGGACCCTTGCCCTTTTTGTCTACTGATTGGAAACATTATTAGTTATACCCAGTGTACAGTTTTTTTTTTTTTTTTTTTTTTAATTTTTGTAAAGAAAGTACTCTGGTTTTTATCCTTTCATGAAAGTGCCAAAGTAATGTAGACTTGCAGCATTTATTATGCTATCTTCCCAAAGATTGAAGTTTTTATTTTCAAAAAAAAAAAAAAAATCTAGTCATCGACCACTCGGACACAATTGCTGCTAGCGTTTTGTTCTCGGATCTGCGTTTAAACTTTTTGTTCTTTTTTCTTGAACATTTTATCATGATTTCTCTGCTCAAACTAGCTTTGCATGTTAAGAAAGATGGAAAATTATAAGGATGAAAGACTTTATTTAATCAAAATAGTTAAGTTACAAACTATCAAATTGATTATAAATTTTAAATATTTAACAAATTTTTTTATCTTCGTTTCTTTTCCTTTTTTTACTAAGCAAAGCTTAAGTCTAAGACCGCAGAAATTTCATGCAAATGGGAGGATTTATTTTGGCCAAGGCAAGAATTGAAGCAGGGAGAACCCATAGCCCTTCTCCGCATATTAGTCCAGAAGCAACGGCTGGAACCATCATGTCAGCCTTCTTTGTTTTCAGCTTGTGCCAAACAAACACCACCAAAGTCCCCAAGCACATGTCAATCGCAAAATAGGCCCCAACTAGAAATGGCACCGCCATGGCCATTGGAAGTGGCATCCATTTCCCTATCTTATGCGGTGAGAAATCTCTCACCAAATTCACTGCCACTGCAAAAGCAAAGAAGCCATAACAGAGTTGCAAGCAGTGCTGAGGCAGGGCCGAAAAGCCTTGTACAGCGAGAATTGCCATGTTTCTGTATATCAAGGCATACGGAGCTTTGAACTCTCCATTTGGATTTCCAACATCAAATGCCTTGTAGAAAAGAAAGAAACTAAGAGGCGCTGTAACGCAGCCAATAGCCGTCCCAATTGCCTGGCTCAAGAACATTGCTCTTGGAGAGGTGAGAGTATAATGCGCTGTCTTGAAATCTTGCATTAGAATGCAAGCAACAGAAACAACAGATTTGATGAGACCACATCCGGCAAGCCCTGCGACCACGCCGTTTTCCTTCCCCGACAATGCCGCTAGCAGAAATAGTGCGACTTTCCCATAGTTATAGGCCATGTTCATGTCAGTGAGACCAGCCCCGTATGCATTGCAGAATGCCAGAGATGGAGCTAGAATGTAAGCTACAACCACATAGTACCATTTGAGCTGAGGAAACATGATGGGGATCACAATAATTGACATGATAGATAATACTACATATCCGATAATGCCTATCCACATGGGAATGGTTTCTCTAAGGAAAACTTCGTTTTGTTTTAGATCCTCAGCTGTCTTCTTCAGGTCATCCTCATCAGCTGCAAGCAAGGACAATATATGTTGGTTACTCACCGTCAAAAGTTCACTATATGACATAGAGCATTGATGAACTCTTTAGCTTTTACGCCGCCCCGAAAGGAGAAGATAGGAATGCTGCTCAATTTACCTGTATTTCGGTTTTTGTTCTTCAACCTGCCATGGATGTTAATAAGCGTGAAACAGAATATCTTGAGGAAATTGTAGAGGCCATCACCGAGAATGAGAGCAACAGATACAAAAACCTGACCACCATAAAATTATAGGTTATAAACATTGCTCTGTAAACATTTTTATAGAATTTTTTTGAATTATTAGGGAAGCGAACTTGTTTCGGGAAAGAAAGAAACTGAGAGACCTTGTAGCCATATAAACTTTTCATACTGATTTCTTGTAAATCCTCAGAAAACCAATCCCCTTTAAGCCGATTAATGAGTGGCCACATTAGTCCATAAGAGAGCACGGCTCCAAAAAGCAAAGACAAGTTCACGAGGTGGGAACAGATCATTCCTGTCCCGACAAAGGTCAGGCTAAAATCAAAGAAGAATCTGCAAGAAACCAAGAAATGATTAGTCACATAAACAAGAAGCAAAAAAATAAATAAAAGGAACGATATGCTCAATAACATTTCAGGAACAAAGACGTACGTTTGCTTCCAGGCTTGCAATCCGAAAGTAGGAAACTGTTTGAAACCACATCCTTCTTTCCCAGAGAAAAACCATTGGAAAAACCCCCACAGGAAACTAGCTGAAAAATACTTCACGAATCCATGCACCTGTTTCCTGCAATAATGATGATCATATTCATACGTCATAACTTCTTCTTCTTCTGTGGTTTGATTCTTACATACTTTTTGAATAGATTTGTAACAACCAACAAAGAAATGTTAACTCTAGATGCTTACTTGGCCGACTCATCGCCTTGGCTATGAAAACCATTGATGAGAACTGCAGTTGCTAAGCCACTTGGATAAGTCAACTTGAGGTCTACTATCATGACCTGTACAGAAGAAGAATTCCCATGAAATTTTTTTGAACTGTTTCCATGAAAATTTCTTTCCCCTTCGTGACATAACTTGGTGCAAGTGATCCACAACTGTTTATAACAAGGTCATGGTGATGGAGAAAAAAAGTTTAAGAGCTGTTGATCAGATATACCTTTCTGAGAGGAATTAAGACAAAAAGACCAACAAAGCAAACTACAAAAAGGAAGCCAGTCATCCAACCAAATCCTGGTTCTTTCACAGTGGATGCAGCGTTCCCTTCAGTGTCTACTCCAGACAATTCATACGTTTTCCTGTTTAACCCTAAAAGATAAGAAGCAAATCCACCTGCAGTCCAGATAAAAAAAAAGTGGTGATATCAGGAAAGAATTGAAACTAGCCTGAAAATAAACAAGGAAATTTCAAACGTTGCTTATGCTTGAAACCTCTCTAACCTCCAACAGCGATGCTGTAACATGCAACTGCACATGTTTGTATCATGGTGTTCTCTTGTCTTGTAAAAGGTTTGGACATAAATCCAGCCTTTTGAACAGCCTTTGTCCATGTCCGGATAAAAATAAAGGCAAGAAGAGCAGCCGAGACATTAAAATGGGGAACCAAACCAACTGTGAGGTTTAGCTTCATGGCTATCACACTGTAAATGGTTCCGATCAGAATGCTTACGATGATTCCCCTGACTGTGATTTGCTTTGTCCATGGTTCTATTGTCCTTGAACCCTCGGTTTCTTCATGTAGTTCTTTCAAGTTCTCTCTCTGATTCTCTTTCTTATAATTCACTTCGTCCATGCTCATTGTTGCTCTGCGAAATTCAACGAAGACTTGACATCAACAGAATAAAGAAAATGAAATTGATCACCACTGACAAAGCATGTGAAATGATTAGAAAAGAAAACTAGGCTATTTTTGTGGGAATACAAATCCAATGCATAATATATATATATATATGTCACCTCGGTCTACCTTGTACTTCTCATTTTCTTTTATTCTTCTAGCTTTGATAGACGGATTAGAGACTTATTGCATAATTTCAAACAAGTTGTCAAGTGGTTCCTTGTCTGCTTCTTTTAGAACATTAAAATCCTTCTCAATGAACCAGACACCATGAAACCGATGCGGATCTTAGTTTCCTTCTTAGAATCCCAGCCTATAACTAGCATTCATATATAAATATAAATCATTGAACCACCAAAATATCCCTCCTAATAGTGTAAATATGTTGTTCAGAATCTACTTGTAGTTTCATTCACTTGCCAATTTGACAAAGTAGAAATGACTTCTCACACAATCGGAAGAAAATAACATGTAATATAGTGCTTGGTATGAACTATGAAGGTGTAGGCAGGAGATTATAATATTTATAAAGCTCATAACTTTAACAGCTTACTTAACGAGCATTGGCCTGATTTGATGACCATATTATTGACCTCTCCTTTTTTTTTCCTAGGCCATTGAGTTGGTTATAATAGTATTGTCAACAAGAGAGATTCTTTTTTTTTCCTAAGTGTGGTTTAAACATGATTTAAGGAAAATTGTTAAGTTGTGGCTATGTGGGTCAGTCATCCAATGCAACAGAAAATGATGGAAATTATGTTCATATTGAGGTTTCTCTCTTTCTTACTGGTAATATATCCCCCATTGATTTTTGTTAGTGTAACAAGCCATAATATGGAATTTGGGATAGGCATTCATCTTCTTGGTGCATGTAATGCTTCTTTCTTATTGTTGTTGACTCTATTTTCCTACCCTGTTAATTTCTACTCTCGCAACACCCTGACATCAGCAATTATTATGTCTTTAACAGTTTCCTATTTGTCGGTTCTTTTTTTCTTTCATGTCCTCTCAAAATCATTTATGATAATGTGAACACATTGAAAAAACTCGCAGCAAATGATCACAATCAACCATCTACAGACAAAAGTACCCATTGACAGTATACATTTTGGCTGAAGTGCAAAGATATATAGTAATGTCTAATCATATGAAAACCTTTTACCATACGGCACTGAATCAACGTTAAATAAAAAGGAAATCTAATTGATAAACTTCTTCCCGCTCAAAATTCTTCACTTCTACAGTTTTATCCTCCTTCATATTGACCAACCTAAGAGTAGAAAAATAGAACTTTCTTTTCTACTGGAAGGGGATGGCTCACAGTCACAGGATTCACAGCAAGTAATTATGTGTTTATAAAATTAACCAGCCGAAGTTAACAAGGAACAAACAAACAAGACAAAACCAAGAAATCCAACTAGAGAACTTGACAAACGATTCAAGCCTCACATTTTATTGCATATAATTCTAGCTTGTAGATATTATTATAAGACTGAGGTTAGGACTTAGGAACTGAAAAGTGTTTTACCTTCTTATTATTCCCTTCTAGACTAGTCAATTATCATTCATGAAAGACCAACAATTTAGTGTCACTAATATTTATTTCCTCTTTCCCTTTCAGTCAACTCTTTGAACTGGACTACGTTTTTGTTCGTTTTTTCTTTCCCACTTTAAAGCATTAATAGCTAGTCAAACGGTAAGCAAAAGCCTCTTGCCTCCTATGCTGACAAAGCCTGTCTTACAATCAGAGTAATGAAAAAAGTTCCCTTAATTTCTTTTTTTTTTTTTTTTTTGTGCATAAAATTGAAGTTCATTTTCGTAAGAGATGGAAAAAGAGAGAGAGACAAGAAGTAAAGGATGTAAATGGTGTCGTGGAAGTGTAGCCTTCTTTGAAAACTAATGGTCTTGATTCTTGACCCCACCACACGCTGCAGCCAAAACTGTGGTCCCAGAACGTGAAACTGCTGGAAAAATACAAGATATAGACACCCATTATTGATGTTGATAATGTCATAAATATCCCATTAGTTCATGAAAGACTGGCGGAAGAGTAAACCATAAATCCAAATTTCAGGCTCCTGATGGTTAATTGTTTTACCTAATGGCAGTTGTTCTGCTTCTGCACTTATTTATAAATACATCTGAAAATTATTCAGTCGTCATATTCATATATAATATCTTCAGATAATGATCAAAGGCCAAATGTCCTCTCATAGATGCTCAAAATTTTCATGCAATTATCAGTATAATATATATGTCAATAAGTGATGTAAATTTTGATCATTTTATCTGCAAAAAGAGTTAATAATTAAGCATGTATAATATTCTCAGTTTTCTACATTTCAGAGCAATGGTCCTGAATTGGGGTGAGGGAACAAGCTTGTTGTCAGTAAGTAATGGTTTTAAAGCTTTAGTCAAGCTATCGAGGTTTGAATATGTTCAGTCGATTCAATAAATTTTAAATTAAATTATTTAAAATTAAATTAATTGAATTATGTTATTATATTTTTATGAATCGAACTAAATTTTTTAATTTAAAAAATTAATCAATTAAAATTAGTTTGATTAATGTTTTATTAACTGAATAATAAAAGAAAATAAATTAAATTGTATTATAAATTCTTAATTTCTTATATTTAAAATAAATTAAATAAAATTATCTAACAAAAAATTCAAATACCAAATATTAAAATAAAAACTTTAAAAATTTATAATAAAATGGACAATTCATATATTTTTAGTTATATATATAAGTTTTATTATATTTTAGTTAATTTAATTTTCAAATTAAATTAATCAAAAATCAAAATTTTGTAAAAATTATTTTCAATAATTAATAAAAATTAATTTAATAATAAATTAATTAATCAAATTAAATTAATTCAACCTATTAATTTGATTAAAACTGAATTTTAAACATCGTAACATTCAATCAAAATTAAAAGACTTGCAAGACATAGACAATTAGACAGAGGTGTCGAAACTGGTATGGCAGGACGCTCAAATCAAAATCAGTATTCCGTAAATAAGATGATAAAGAGGGAGTAAAAATAAAAGTGAAGACAAGAGTGAACATAAGGCCTATGTGCTATGGGAAGATAATCTCATGTGCATTTCTGTTCTTTCAGTGCCAGATGCCAATACATATTGTATTGGATCACTATGCCATGTAACCCACAATTTCGCGTGCATTCAGAATTTGAATTATCAGGTCTATTAAACGTAGAAATAATAACGGATAGAGCCGAAAGAAATTTTTATTTATTTTAAATTTGATATTCGATTTGATAAATTTTTTATTTTTTTATATTTAAATTTGATTTGATTTGAAATTAATAAAATATTATTTTTAAATATAAATATAAAATTAAATAAATAATTTAAAAATAATTTTTTTTTATATATTAAATCGGATGAAATTTATTCAAAATTTGATATTGACTTGAAATATAATTTTTTATTTAAAAAAATCGATTCTAAAAAATCGTATGAAATCAAAATTTTTCGAAACGAATTTGACCGATATCTCTAATTAAACGTCAATTCTAATTTCGAATCCAATTTAAAAGATTTATTTATAGTGAAGTTGAAGTTGCTTTCAAACCAGAGCCCAAATGGCACTTCATCCAATACCAAAACGGCATTTCAAGCGGAAAGAGATAGATTGCCATAGCGCTATTGACAACTCTCCCGAATTGTAAGAAGTCATCATCTCCCCACCGAAAGTCACATGGTTGCTAGTTGCGGCAGTGTCCAGTCGGAAGACAGCTCCAATTGCTTTTGTCATATCAGACGACTAATTCTCATTTTTCTACAAACGTGGTTTGAAAATTTTATCACCAAGCAATTGTCGTTAACAACATGCCTCAAATTCCTGAAACAGAACAAGACACGTTTGGATGTTTCTTCCGTAATATATATTTTTTTAATCTTTTGAATTATAATTACGTTTCGAACTCAAAATTCTCTTTATTGAAGTCGATCTTAATATTACGGAATTAACAGCTTATTGAGATTCAAAACTCTTTATCTTAAAACTGATTTCAGTATTGGTTCCTTTTTAATCATTTAGCAGCGAAACAAAATGGTTTAAGATTTATTTAAATGGATAATAAAATTAATTTCGATGAAATTAAAAATTATTATAATTATTATTAAAAAAATTTCATAAAAAATTTATATTAAAAATACGATAAAATCTAAAATCTCACTTAACAATAGACTTGCCGAGATTCCCCTATTGTACGCCTAACCCTATTTTCTAGGCTTAAACGAGCACTGCTCCTTTACAAGAAGCCCAGCCCCAACTGAGAAACGAAACCAAAGCTCTACCGGCGTAAATTGACAAGTCAACTGTCATGGATGAATTCGGATTCACAATCAATCAAGTTGTAATAAGCAGCCAAGAGGAATCTCATCACTATCATAAATTGAAGATAATTATTTTAGTTCCAAACAAAAGAAAGAAGCCAAGAGTATCAGCCATCTATGGCCCCAAAGTTTGAAAATTCCACAATCAAAACCACAAAGACACCATCTTCGTTACTCGGAGCGACTAGATAATATCACAATGAAAAGTTTGAAAATTCCATCAAGTTACCTCTTATCCGACAAGAATTTATAGCTGTTGTCTTCTTGTACATTTCGACACTAAAAACCGTGTGCTATCACCCCCCTTATTCTCCAAAACCGACGTCGCCTGAACCGCCTCTATCGCCTCCACATCCACTCTCTTGCGTTATAAATCCCTCAAAAGATATTTCAGATTCCATTTTTGAAACCAAATAAAAATAAAAAATGTGTAGGTCTTCGGATTGTTATCACGACTTTCGCTCCAGCGATCAAAGTCTTTTGAAGATCAAAGCTTTCTTTATTCGTTTCTCGGGTTTGGGTTCTTGTGCGGAACTGTTATCCGATTCGCTCACCCTACTCTACTCACCAAGAATCAACGAAACGGCACTCGAAGTTTCCGGGTCCAATATCCGGCCCGATTCCTTCGCGTTCTTGACTCTCCATCGGATGGTTAAAGTGGAGACGAAAGTTGGAGAGGCGATATATGGGAGCAGAGAGCGGGTTCGCGCCGGGGATGGGGTCCGGTTCGAGGTTTATTCAAGAGAGGAAAAGGTGTTGAAAGGGATTTTCAGAAGAGAGGAGGCGCAGAGGTGGAAAATGGAGTGCAAGTGCGCGCTGGAAGGAGGGGATGGGGAAACGGTTGCCGTTGAACGGGCGATGGCGGATGTCTGCGTGGCTGTAGAGGGAAACGTGGCGATCTTAGAGAGGGTGGAAATGTCTGCGAGGAAGAGGAAGAAGAATAGGAGGGTGGGTTTTAATCAGCTGGAGGATATTCCAGAGGAGAGAGAAGGGGAGAGTGAATCGGACGGTAGATATTGCTGCAGTTGTTGGGAACCGGACAGTAGCGGTTTGGAAGGAAAGTGCGAGGCAGATTGTGGTGGGAGGCAGGTGAGTTGGGCCTTTGATGTGGGCATTTGGGTGATGTGCTTTGGGATTGGATACTTGGTCTCCAAAGCCTCCGCCAAAAGCTTGAGGCTCATGAGAATCCTATGACAGTGTAAATTATAAATTATAAAAAATGGAAATGTGGTATTGGGGCAATTTTTCCAATCTCTTATTCTAAATTTGTTACCCAGTTTTGGAAATTTGGAAGTCAATTAACAAAACAAAAAATCATAAAATGAAATGACTGAAATGGGTAAACTATTAAAAAGTTATTGAATTATTTTAAAATTTTAAATAAATTTTTATATTTTTATCATAGTTAATAGATTTTTATTTTTTAATTTATATTTAATTAAAAATTTATTTTAAATGAAAGGATTGATTTATATTGAAGATTTATTTAGATAAATGTTAAATGACAAAGACGATTTGGAATTAAAAGTAAAGAGTTTACTTAAATATGAATTAAAAAAATTATTTGAATATAATAAAAATATATGATTTTATTTAAATAAAGTGATAAAAATTAAAAAATTTTATTATTTTAATTATAAGAAATATTTTGTAATAAATGAGAAACTTAATTTCATTTTAATTTTAGAGACAATAAAGATTTGAGGCATATTGTAGTCTAGTATACTGGGCATTTGGAAATATTCATAATAATAATAATAATAATTTTATAAAAAAATATTAATGGACTTGATTGGGTCTGAGGAATGTGCAATTTGTTAATTTATTTGTAATTAATAATAATAACTAGTTTTAATTGAAATTTCATATTAGCATATGAGTTATGACAAAGTAAACTTACGGAGAAAACGCCACTATAAATAATCAAAACTCAGAAAAGGAGAAGAAAATAAAATAAGCTACGTCTAGTCGTCTGCCAACTCATGGGAAAAATCCACGTGTCAAAATCCAATCAACTAGCAGCAATTAGCCACGTCAGCACCAGCCCGTTCGCTCTTCACCTCAAACCAGTCCCCTCTCTATGTCGCCGCTCATGGCGGTCAACGGATCAAATAAATACTTCACGCCTAATAATAAAAACAAAAGAAATAAGCCGCCTTTTAATTTTCGGGACGATTCTTTTGCTGTTAAATTACTTTGCTGGCGTCTTTAAGCGACTACTTCTTGACGGTTAATGCGTTGGTTCTCCAAAGGCGGTTTAAGGTTTTAGGGCATGAGGAGAATGGGTGGAAGTCAGAGACGTTACTCAGCGAATTCTGACGATTATAAGCTTTTAGAAGAGGTTGGTTGTGGCGCCAGTGCTACCGTTTATAGAGCGATGTATCTCCCTTCTAACGAGGTCGTAGCTGTGAAGTGTCTGGATGTCGATCGTTGCAATAGTAATCTGGTTCGTTTTTTACTCTTTATTTGATTTTTAGTTTCTACTCAAATAATGCTGTAACTTGATTTGATTTTAGTTGGTTTTGAATAGATCTCGTTTGATTAAATTGATTTGATTGTGGATTTATTAATTGTTTCTCGTGGAGTTGAATGGAATTCTGAGATTCTTACTTTTTATTATTGAAAATCGTTGCCTTAAAGTCGGAGTTTATGAGGTTTTGAACGATGATTGAATTCTAGCTTTGTTTCTCGTCTGTGTGTACGTCTTTCTCTAGTGCCAGATAATTGTTGGAATTTGTTCCTTTTGAAATTGTTTGAAGTTGAAAATTGTTCCTTTTATCTTCTATCTTTAATTGTTTCTGAGGAAGCAAGAAAACTCTATTTAATAGTGTTATGCGAACCATACCATTCAAATAGGAATTTTTCTTTGGTAGCGACCATACCATTGATTTAGCTGAGGCAGTTTAGTGCTGAAATGGGATTGCTACTGTGTGTACTGAAGATAGTCTATCAACATTCCATGGTTATTTAAAGCTTGGATATCTGCCAGCAAGGAATACTTTAAAATGCTGACACCATTGGATCCGTGGGATTATTTGTTCTTTCAGTTAGGAATATGTTTATAAAGGAATTAAATTGGTGCCCACTTGATATGCCTAGGAGATGATTTTGTTCTCATAGAATTTTGCTACTCAACTGAGAAAGGATTGAGAAATCAGGGGGACTCAGTTCCAAAATAATAAGAGACTTTAAAAGTTGTTACTTGTTACTGGTGGGATTAAAATTTTGTCCTGTTAAAACGTTTTCTAAACGAGGACAGTACTATTCTCCGTACCTTACTTTTCCTTCCCTTAGCTTCCTCTCAATCCAAACAAAGCCTTAGTTATCGTTCATGCGTACTAAAGTTCTGGTAAGCTATTTTGTTTCATTACATATAGGTCATTCCACTGAACAAGTTTTATGTTTGATAATAATAGAATCACTCAATATGTGCATGCCGCATTGTTTTTTGGCTACTGGAATCTTTTATGATGGAAGTCATTTAGAGGCTTTATAACTGTTAGTATCATGAGTGGTATAGCTTAGGTCTATATTTTCTACTTTTCATGTTAGTCAATACCTCCTCTCTTCATGATCTTTTGACTCTTGTGTAGCTTTCTTGATGACTAATGCTCTTTTCAGGATGAAATACGCCGGGAGGCTCAAACGATGAGTTTAATTGATCACCCAAATGTTGTTCGGGCATATTGTTCGTTCGTAGTTGACTATAACCTTTGGGTAATCATGCCATTTATGTCGGAGGGTTCCTGTTTGCACCTCATGAAGATAGCTTATCCTGATGGATTTGAAGAGCCTGCCATTGGTTCTATTCTGAAAGAAACTCTTAAGGCTTTGGATTATCTTCATCGACAAGGACATATTCATCGGGATGTTAAGGTCAAGACACCATTGAAGTTAACATTATTTTATCCAAATGAATTTATCATTCCTTTTATTTCAGTTGTTTTTAAATTGACATTACAGGCCGGGAACATACTGCTTGACTACAATGGCTCAGTAAAGCTTGCTGACTTTGGTGTTTCAGCCTGCATGTTTGATGCAGGAGATAGACAACGTTCTAGAAATACCTTTGTTGGGACTCCTTGCTGGTGAGCTATCTTTGTCAAATCTGTCAAACAATTATTGTTCTCTTCCTCACCTCTCCCACTCTGATGCCATTGATAGAATTTATTTTTCTTCTTGAATTTTTCCATGATTTGAGATTTCAATTATCCTTTCTTTGCAGGATGGCTCCAGAGGTCTTGCAGCCAGGAAGTGGATATAACTCCAAGTGAGTTTCAATCCGTGTTTAAGATTTTGAAAAATATTTAAAGCCTAAGAATTTCTCGTAAATACATATTGTCACCATAAAAAGTTCAGTAGGTATGGCATCTTAGTTTACACAAGTTTTTCTGTTTCTGGGTAGCAAGGTTTGGTCATGGGTTTGAACCTGCAAGGTATCATGATTTTGGTCCAAGTTATATATTTTTTCCAAAAACCAAAATTTTACTTTATCCACACATCATGGCATTCTATTAAATTATCTATGCTCCTCAAAGTTGCCACTTTTGCAGATACATTGCAAATTTGTGATGTATATTTTAATTATTCAAATTGTACCATGGGAATCTGGTATATTTTATATAGTTAATGGCTATTATGCTTGGACTGAGTTGAATTTGGCTTGAGTGCATTCAAAGTTGGTATATTTCTTGGTACATTTAAAGAAGTAGTACATTTTGTTTTTCAACTTAATTTTGTAATTTCATTAATTGGTTGCATTTTTTCACAGGGCTGATATGTGGTCATTTGGCATAACAGCATTGGAGTTGGCTCATGGTCATGCACCTTTTTCAAAATATCCACCAATTAAGGTATCTAATCCCAGTTGAACATATAACAAGAATTTATATAAATGCTCCACCAATGAAGGTATCAATAACACGAGCTTTTAGTAAACATCTTATTTATGTTTTACAACTTTTCTTTCTAACAATAACAGGTTCTCCTGATGACCATACAAAATGCTCCTCCAGGACTTGATTATGGTCGTGATAAGAAGTTCTCTAAGGTACTGCTATTCTTTCTGGCTACATCATCACAGTGACAGACATGTTATTTGTCATTATATACATAAAACATTGATTGGTGCATTTAATGGTGTTTTACAATTGCTTATTTGTCATAGCAAATTTCTAATTAAAGGACTTCCAGTTGTGATCAGTCTTTTAAAGAAATGGTTGCGATGTGCCTGGTGAAAGATCAAACAAAGAGGCCAACTGCAGAGAAATTATTAAAGCACTCCTTTTTCAAGCATGCAAAGCCTCCTGAGCTTTCTGTGAAGAAGTTATTTTCTGGTCTGCCACCACTTTGGAATCGTGTGAAAGACTTTCAGGTTAATGATCACACTGCCAAAATGCACATGTTTTGCTTCATTTGCTCACAGTATTTGTCTAATTTATCCCTTTTTTGTCAAAATTTTACAGCTTAAAGATGCTGCACAACTAGCTCAAAAGAAAATGCCTTCAGCAGAACAAGAAGCTATATCACAGGTTAGGAATTATTAATCAGAAGTCATTTTTATCTTATATCTGATTTACCTGTTCTTCAAAATGACATATCTGTGAAATTTTTAACTGTTGAGTTGTGCACTTGGGGACATTTGTGTTTTCTTACTGCTGGGGTGTTGTCTTGTGCTTGTCAGAGTGAGTATCAAAGAGGAGTTAGTGCCTGGAATTTCGATATTGAGGATTTGAAAGCGCAAGCATCTCTGGTAGGCCTCATATTTAACTTTAGCCTTTAATAATAAAGATTGTAATGCAGACATAACGTATGAGAATTAATTTCTTCGTTGGTTATATCAATCACTCAGTTTATACTCATTTTTTCAATTGAACATGCTAAGGTGCATGATGATGACGACATTCATAAGTGCAAAGGTGACTATGAAAGAATGAAATCAAGCCTTGGTCAAAAGGTCAGTATTTGTATTTTTTTTTTTTTTTTTGCCCCAGCAGTTTGTGGTACATATCTAGACATGGTTAAAATACTACTTTTTTACTTATACAACTTGGAATTGTATTTCTTTCTGATTTTTCCTTTAGAGCAAACTATGTTAATTGATTCTTGGTGTTGGCTGACAGGCTTCAGCTTACTGCAAATCTAGTTTGGGAAAGTTGAATTTAAATAGGGAAGTGTCTCAGGCTGAATTTGGAGGACCAAGGAATGTTGATTTATTACAGTTTGATTGCTTGAATGGAAAGGGAAAGAATCCGGAATGTGATATAGTCGAAGCTGGCTGCCAGGAGATGGTTGGTTTGAGAGGAAATGGATCAAGCATTGATATTATGGCATCAACTTCAGAAAAGGATGTGCTATTGACCAGGGCTAAAACAGTGAAACCTAGGCAAACCCAAAGTGGGCCACTCACACCTGGTGCTGTTCTTAATCATTCATCTTCAGAACGGGCTCGTAACTCAGAAAGGTTGGTCACAGTTCGTAGTTAAGTTTGCTTGGCCATTTCAGTTGTCTTTGTTCCATGGGTTTTTAAAGTGATCTGGGCCTTTTTTTTTTCCTCCAAGTAATTGTTACCTGATGATGCTGTTGCATAAGCATGTAGAACATTTGGTTCTAATTGTAGTTTAAAACATATCCTATAACATATGAGGGGACTCAATCTGCTATATGATGGCTGTAGGCCCTGGTTATGATTTTAACTACCAAACGTGAAGTAGGTCTTTTCCTTTTGGACTATTTTATTGCCTGTGATTTTGAGAATAGTTAATTCTATAAATTGGGCCATTTAATTTTTTTCTCTTGTGTTTTTGCCTCTGTTGTTGAATTATGTTTTAATATAACATGGTCTAAATGTTGGGCTAGTGAAAAGCCATATGAGGTCATAAAAGTATACCGCTGTTATAGGCTATTTTTGTCTCTATCTCTCCAATAAAACAGAAGTGTCAATCTGACAAGTCTTGGTTCCAATGTGCTTTAAGTTGATTCAACAGAACATTTGATTATGATTGGTCGGTGGCATATTTCATTTAATATAGTTTCTTCTGATATTGCTTTGGCCTTTTTATGGTTGTGAAATTGAAGGATAAGTAAGAAAATGATTTACAGCTCATCTGTATACATGTGAGATTAATCTCTTATCTTTTGTAATTTAAGAAAATGATTTATAAATCATCAGAAGTGGAAGAGAAATTTGTAGATTTTGAGCTTACGGTTTGCTATTGATTAGGTTTGAGAATGAAATTTTACCAGCAAATGAGAAAGTTTGCCAAGTTCGTAAAGCACCAATCTTTAGTGGTCCATTAATGCTTCCTAATCGAGCATCTGCAAATGGTTTATCAGCTCCAATTAAATCATCAGGAGGTAACAAACTCATAGCATTTAGAATAGTTGTTGTTTGTTTTTGTCACCAGCATCACCATCAGTGCTACTCTTTTGGCTGCTAGGATTTATATATATTGTAGCATCCTTTTTCTCCTTCAACAGGGTTTAGGGATTCTTTGGATGACAAGTCAAAGGCTAATCTGGTGCAAATAAAAGGTCGATTTTCAGTAACATCAGAAAATTTAGATCTTGTAAAGGTAAGGCTCAATTTTAGTGCTATATTTGTTCTCTTGTGCAACTTCACTAACCAAATAATGTTCTCTAGGACATTACTTTAAGTACAGTTTCAGGCCGGTCTTCACAAGTGGGTTATTGGTCTTGGCATAAATATGCTTCTATAAACAATATAATTGTCCACTTCTTATTGGTTGCTCTGTTTCTTCTTGAGTTTCAGACTTTGCCTCTCAGAAAGTCTGTTAGCGTAGGTGATTGGATAAATGAATCCAAACAAGTGGTTCAAGTATTACATCTTCTTGTCTATGTGGTTGATTGTGAATTTATGTTCTGTTTCATTTTATTGCAACATCTTGCATCTTGAAGCTTAAGGAGGTTATAAATGAACTGGCGTTAAGGTGTGTGCCCGGGAAATAATGTGAGGCACAAATCAGAGAGAGTGCCTCACTGCCTTCCAGGGGAGGCACCTTTATTGAGGCGCATGCCTTTTGAAAGGCACACAAGGGGCTTACCCCACTCAACTGATTTGGTTTGCTATGATTGTTTGTATGTGTTATTTTAAAAGAATAAAAGAAGGGTAGTAATATCCATATTTAACAACTTCATACAAATCAAGTATAAATTCATCTCATCTTAGATGTGGTTCCATCTATCTGGTAGTGGAACATGTTTAGCAGCTTTGTATGCCACTGCATTATGTAAATAAGTGTTGATTTTTTTTGCACCTGGTTTTTTTCAGCCTATCAATCACACCGCCAAGGATTTGACCAATGGTAGCATGCCCACATCAATTCTTATGACTCACCTTCAGAATCTTTTTCAGCAAACCTCACTTCAACAGGTAAAGACTTAAATGTTTCGTAGGGAGGATGAATTTTTTTTTAATCTAATGGTTGAGATTCTTAACAACATGTGCTATTTTGTAACTCAACCAACCATTACATTAAAATTTTTTCCTTCCTTTGCCCTTTCCTTCCTACCAAAAAGTGTAGGTTTGGGACAGTAAGTCAGTGTTTCATTTTGCTGACAGAATGTTTGTTTGCCTTAAACTTAATGATGTTCTCACTGGAAATTTTTTTGGCATGCTAGGATTTTATCACGAATTTGTTTAATAGCCTGCAGCCATCTGAGTTTGTAGATGGTCAGTGAAAGATTGGTCTTTCTATCACACTTACATGATTAAGTTAGGAAATACACTGCTTATCAGTATAGTAATCCATTTCTTTTTTGTTTTTCCAGCCACACAAAATGGAAAGTTGCCTCTACCTCATTGCACTGAGAGCAATGGAAACGTAAGAACCTTCTGTCTATGTTTTATGACTATTTCTAGTATGTTATTCTTTCTTCACCTACCTGATCTTTTTCAATAGGTTCAAACAGCAGCTTCTGAGAGGGAGCGTTTACTGCTCGGCAAGATCTCAGAGCTCATATCTAGGTTGATTGTTGTGAATCCATACCTAGTAGTTCTACCTTTTTTTCCCACTATATATGCAAGTTTCTTCTGATACTCTTTTTTGAACACTTTTTGCAGAATGATGAATTTAACCAATGAATTGACTACTGAAAAATTGAAATATGATCAAGTGAGCTTCTCACAGGGTTTTATATATTTACATTTGTGGCTTTTTGTTGCCTCTACTTTATATTTCATGGTTGTGTTGTGTCTAGCAAAGATGCTTTCCAAAATTAAGAGATGATGCTGGGTTCTTGACGTACGTTTAAACAATTCCCTCTTGCTCGATACTCGATTCATCCTCTCTCTCAATATCTTCCTTATTGATACAAGAAGAACCCCATCGTGTGGAGAAGGAGAGGTTATCTGTTGGCTCTGATGATTTCATTATCGTTATGCAGTTGCAAGAACAACTAAGATTCATGTCTGGTGCGGAACAGAACTGGATTAGAAAGGAAGGGGATTCGTGAAAGCTGTAAAGAGAAAAAACTATGCATAATCGGGCAAAACACCGACCGAAATCGTGAAAATAATATTTTGTTCCACCATTCTTTGACCATCAGATAATGGGAACTGCTTTTCAGGCCATCAACAACGGTAGAACAGTAGAAGGCAGCAGCATCATTAGTTACACCTTGAATGCCGATGCGTTTCTTTGCAGATTTCAGCCACTTGAATGACAAATAAAGCAAATATTAAGGGTAGATGAAGATGTTTTTACTTCTATTTCATGTAAAGAGAAATGTTGTTTCAGAGCCAGACCAATTACTTTTATTGTCATGGAAGCAGTCACGTAGAGGGTTAGATGTACGAGTTTTGGCTTCTGCCCAGAAAATTCATTTTATCATTTAAGGAAACAAAAAAGTTAGTAGTGATTTTTTATTTTATATACTATTCATACGGGGAATATGAACAATTATCTTCTCTATTTTTTTTTTCTTTGAACAACATATTTTTAAATTAAAAATTAAAAAATTTTGAAAAATCTTCCCCATTTGCTCATACAAGGAGGCTGTTCTTCAATTACAAAGATAAAAAGGCCCAAAAGATCATTGGGCGGTCAAGAAAGCCATTCCATATTTGTTCTAACGTAGTAACATTCTAGAAGTAAGCAACACGCAGGCCAGGAGCTCCATCTTGTCAACTCCAATGGTTAATCACCCTTAACAAAAATGTTACGGTCGAAAGTTTTATGCATTTATTTTTAACCACCGCGAGCAAATATCGGGAAAAGCGCCCATACTCCTTAGTTCACAGCTCATGCTACCGGTAGCAACAACCGAACTATGATCTGCTTCTACCTCACCCAACCCTCTTCCTGTTCTTCGTTTTTTCTCAAGCCTCCTCTCATACCTTCTTCAATATCCAAACTTAAACCCTTCCATCACCTTTCAAAAACCCACAAAAAGGTGACAATTTGTATTGATCTGTTCTTTTTGTTTTGTTATTTTATTTTATTTTATTTGGTTGCTGACTCTGGATTTTTACAGAAGAAGATTAAGAGAGGAATATGCAGGGCGGAGTTTTCGCCGGACGCGCCCCTTGCTGCCGCAATCGGCGCGTGTATGCTGAGTTCGCTGCTGCTTCCGGTCGCCGATACTAGGGATGAAGATGGTGGTAACTCGGTTATTGACTTAGGGGATGCGAGGTTTGTGGCTATGGGGATTATCAGCTTTATCCCTTACTTCAATTGGCTGGTTAGAAACTGAATTTTTTATTTTTTTTTTATTTTAAAGGGGAGGGGACTGGGGAGCTTCCTTGTTAAATTTCCAGCAATTTTAATTTTTACTTTCACGTTTTTGGTTTTTGATTTGATAGAGCTGGGTTTTTGCTTGGCTTGATACGGGGAAGCGGCGCTACGCCGTGTATGCAATTGTATACTTGGCTCCTTACCTCAGGTATCACTTTTACGATTGGTGCAATTATAATTTCCTAGTGCCAATCAAATTATCACACTGGAATGAATATTCAATATTTAATATTTGGAATGCTTTTCTTGCTTTAGTTTGAGAGCAGCAAGGGTGTCAAAACTAGGGTCTAATGGAGAGGGTGCAAACTTCATTGTCTTATAAGTTTCATCTTAGATAAATTTAAGAGGTTTTAATATCTCTTTTAGGAACGATTTTGGGGTGTGATCGTTAAAGTACTGAGCTGGCAAGTGTGAGTGCAAGGGTCTAAGTTGGTACTTGGGAGTTGCCCCTCTATCTCCATGCAAATGTGAGAGAGGGTAGGTTTGTTTCTGAGTCCCTTTTCCCAGGAGGGACTGCCTTTTTTGGGAACTTATCTAGGTGATTTTGACTGTTTTATTATGTTTTTGTTTAGTCTTAGTGGTATTCCAAATCTTACGGTGATTATGTTTCCTTTGTCTTTTGGCTATCCTCAAAGGGCAATGAACTAGAATGCTAGTGTTGACTTATTAAGCTTCTTTCTTTGAGGTTTCAAGTTTTAATGTTTTCTATTGTTTATCTCTTTTGAAATTTTTGAACTTAAATATGACTATCGATTATCAACTTCTTTTTGTCTTTTCATCATAAGTTTTAATTATAAGTTATAACCTTTTCCAAGCTTCAATGAGGTAAATTTTGTTGCTTTTTTAAATCAATGTGTTCCTCCTTCTAATGTGTTCGTTTCGATACTTGGTTTGTTGCTGTCAAGTTCTGGCTTCTTTAAAAACCCATTTCGCTTATATTCATAAATACAACCACCATTTCTCTATTTCAACTGGTTATGCTCCTAATGCTGTATTTGTGGGCAATAATGAAAGCTAAATTGAGATGATGGGTACTTGATGGACTACACAGTTGGATTTTCTTAAACTTTAGATTGTTTTTGTTAAAATGTAACTTGACAGGTTGTGTGGATTTAATTACATATTTTTTCTCTGATTTAACAGGTCAAATTTGTCTCTTTCCCCAGAAGATAGCTGGCTTCCTATTGCTAGCATAATATTTTGCATTTTTCATGTCCAGGTACAAAATTTATCAAGATCGTTACTTTGTTATGTTGGTAAATATGTTGTGGTACCCCATATTTCTGCATTAAAGTCTTGTCTGATGATGGTGATTTATTTATCAATGATTTATGCTCCTCTAGGTAATATGGAGCTTCTGAGCATCACTGTTGTTTTAGTTTGTGGTTGATTGGTTCTGGCTTAAGATGCCACTTTTGAGTATATACTGGAAGCTGTACATAAGTGTATGGCATTGTGACTTCCATTGCTTGTCGTTGCAGCTGGAAGCAAGTATAAAAAATGGTGATCTTCAAGGATTTCAAATGTTTAGTGAGGCTGCTAAGCATCTTTCATCAAGGAGTAGAGAGGAAGACACACATTTCAAAGGACATGAGGAACCTGAGGTATCAGGATCTTGAAACCCTTGAGAATTTTTGGTCCTGTTTGAATATCTGCTTTCATATATAATAGAAGTGTTGTTCTTAATGTCAGGTGAGAAAAACAGAAAATAGGAATTTGCCTGATGCTGAAGAACAATCAAGAAATGAGATCCGGCAGTGGGGAATCTCTAGAAATCCCCCAGAACATCATGAACAGTCGAATGGAGATTGGGATGATGATGGAAGTGAATACTAGAATGACAGGCATCATAACTCAGCTTCCTTGATTTTAATATTTTGATCCAAATGAAGTGCTAGTGTCTTGGTGTACGCCGTTTAATTATGAATGCTGATCTGCTGGTTAATTTGATCCCCTGTTGATATCAAATGGATGAATTACCTTGTGGAATTTGGACAGATGATGGCAACTTAAGGGCCCGAGGATATTTGACCTCTAGAGTTCATTTATCAGTTCCAAACCCACAACTAGGTTTTTTGATCCAATAAGTTGTATCATTTCTCTTTTTCACCTAGCGATTTTAGTTTTCAAATCCCAAACATAAGATCTTTGTAATGTTCCAGGTCGTTTTACATTCATTTCTTTCAAATGAAGAAGAGTAAAGAAAAACGGAATTTTCTTCTCTTTTTGGCAATAGCAGTTCTTGTCAGAAACCAAACCTTAACCCGCTTTTAAATCTCCTGAAAACTCTTGGGCCTCAACTTAATGAGGGTATTGGCTATTGTAGAGGCCTAACGGTTCACGTTCAAGGCATCACGCTTCTTGTGCCGCTATCAACGGATATAACGGCAACGCCCCTACCCTACCCTCACTTTCCCTTCCAACTTCCAATATTTCCAGCGGTGGCCTAGAGAGGGGAACAACAACCTTGGCCCGCCTTCGCACCGAGACATCCCTGTTACAAGATTTACTCTTTTATGCAACAAGAGCCCCTTTCAGTTGCCTGGTTCTATTCGCCGGACTCGAACAACAAGACCCGAATCATGAATCCTCCAAGAAATCCATTGAAAACAAAAAGGCCTTCTCCAAACGCCTTGGCCGCCCCCCTCATCGACGCTAACCTCTACAAGGGCCTTAAAGAAAAAGAAAAAAAAACTTTCTTTTATATATTGGCAAGAACCCCATTTGTATTTTCAAAGTGATTTTTGTTTTTTCTTCTTCTAAAATGCAGGATGTGATAATGGTCTGATGTGATGAACCCAGACCACATAGTCGTTGAATTCAAATCGGTTGGTGGGTTTGATAGAATCAAAGAAGCATCGTACGAGTTGGTTATTCTTCCTCTTAAAAGGCCCGAGCTTTTCGCTTATGGCAAACTTTTGGATCCCCAAAAAGGTGTGCTTTTGTACGGACCACCGGGGACAGGAAAAAACATGCTTGCTTGTTATAGAATCTGGGGCTGTCTTTATCAATGTTAGAGTTTCTAATTTAATGAGTAAATGGTTTGGTGACGCCCGTAAACTAGGTAAACAAAACGGGATTTCTTTCAAAATCATTGCCTTGTTGTACATTTTAAGGTTTCTAATATTATTGCACTGACTGCTGTCTTTAGTATGGCTTATAACCTGCATCCGGTTATTAAATTTATTGATGAAGTGGACAGTTTCCTGGGGCTGTGATGAGCTACGGACAACGAGGCGATAGCTGGTATGAAAACCGAGTTCATGGCTTTGCGGGATGGTTTTACCACTGATCGTGAGTGTTCTTAGTTATTAGCTTGATTTTAAACTGATTGTTGATCTGTGAGTGTACAAGTTGAATGTTCTTTACTGACATACATTATCAGCATCAAACGCATTTACACTTCCAAAACTTTATTTTACTTAATCATTTGTGAGGATCATTAAACATACATTGTAGTATCCGTGCCATATATATTAACAGAATGGTTTTTAAGTTCAAAATGCTTTTCCTCCTTCGCCTACATGTCCTGAGGTTTGGAGTTTATTATGATTTTAAGTCAATTTATTGAAAACATTTCTTAGGTGTTCGAAAAGTATGTAGTGCTCACAGAGTGGGGTGTTTGGCGACGGTTGGATATTTATTTTGAAACTTTTAAAACTGTTAGATACCGATGTTTTTTGTGTTTGTTGTGCTAAAAGTGGTTCGGTTTTAACAAGAGATGGGCACGTAGTGCTATAGCTTAAAATAAATAGTACTTCATGTCAATATTGAGCATGTAAACTTTTGTATATAACTGTGAAGTTGATTTTTCTTTCAACTTTGCGTTCAGAGAATGCTCGAGTTATGGTACTTGGTGCAACCAATAATGCTTAGGCGCTTTTCTTAAGTTCTTGAAATTGGAAGACCTGACTGTAATGATAGAAAAAAGATATTGAAGGTGATATTGAAGAATGAGAGAGTGGTGGACACTATTGATTTTGACCACATAGCTAGACTGTGTGAAGGCTCTGCAAACAAGCAGCATATATTCCTCTCAGGATCTCTTGAATGAAGAGAAGGCTGGGAAGATACGTGAAAGTGAGTAATATACATGTCACTCGTGTTACTCTTTATACATATGAGAATGTTTATCTCCAAATGAATGGGTTTCTTGTGGAGAAGTTGCTTTGTAAATGTACGTAAGTTCTCTTCTCTACTTTAGAAGCTTGGCTGTATGTTCTCTCATGTTCTGTTTCTTGGAGTGCGTGAGAGATATAACTTATTAATGTAATGGCAATGTACTTGTGCAGATGCCTTAACTCCCTTGTGTTTTTGATGTCCAGTTACAGGTACCACGACCATTGTCACGGTTGGACTTGGAGAAAGAGTTAGCTACTCCAAGTAAAACACGTATCAACAGGCATAGATCTTGTTCATCAGCATGAGTTGAATGCAGTGAAGATGGTTATAGGATCAAGTTGCGACAGAGCACATAAAATTTTGAAGTTCTGAATTACTAAATTTTGACTTGGATGCCTAAGCCTCTGTAAGCCTTGCTGTTTTGAGTTGTGTATCTGTACTCAGGATATTCAACGAAAATATAGTCAAGAGAATTTATAGATGATGGAATTGGGCATGTTGAAGAAGCTGCAATGCCGAAGGTTTGTTTGAAGAAGAACCTGAGTTTGAAGACTGAAGCAAAGTGGATGTGATTGGTGAGAGCATGGATGGCTCGGAATTTTTTTTTTCTTGCCTCTTCATATTTGATTAATTAAAATACGGGGATTGGTCTTATTCACAAGTCAAACTTTTTAGTCATTATTTTTTTATTACTATTAACATTTAACATAATAAATTAATAAATACCAACAAGTGATTGGTTCAATCGGTTAAGATTATTTTTTTCGACAAAAAGATTTTGAGTGTCGGTGAGTTTTTTTCGATGAAGAAGTTTTGAGTTCGAGTTCTATCAGTGATTATTTGATGAAATTATTTTGAATGTACGATTTGTAATAATTTATTTTAAACTATCAGATATAATATATTTTATCTTAATTTAAGAGTTTAAGTAATTATTTATTCTCAAATTTTTTGTTTTTTACCAAAAAAAATAAATTAACAAATTAAATGATCACAACAAAATAAATATTTAAAAGGACGAACACAGATTTTTTATCTTAAGATTCATTAAATCCTATATTTATAAAAAAGCAGCTGGGCTGTCATGTAATTTGTTTAAAATGCGAAAATCAAATAATTTTTTGTGGTGAAAAAAAAAAACTCTTATTTTTCCTATGAAGAAACTCTTTTTTGTTAGTAAAAAGCTAATTTGGTTCTCTAAAATAGCTTATTAAAATTAATTAGAAATATTTTTACATAGTAATTTAAAAAATAATCATATTTTTGGTTACTTAAATTCTTAGAACTCATAAGTATAATTAAGATCCATAATTCTTTATTTATAATAGTAAAAAACTAATTTTAAAATGATTCACATCTTAAATAAAAAGAAAACAATTAACTAAAATGAAGAAAGTGTTTTATTTCTTTTTTTTTAATAATAAAATAGAACAACATTGTGAATAATTTTTATATTATAATAAAATATTTAATATGATATTTAAATTTTAAAAATTTTAATATAATGCTTGAATTATGAATTCATTAATTAATGTAATATATATTTATAATATGATTAATTTTAAATGATGACATGTGGAGAATAAAAAACTCTTTAAATATCATATTAATTAATAAATTTATAATTCAACTATTACATTAGAGACTTTTAAAATTTAGATATTATATTAAATATTATATTATAATTTAAAATATTAACCTTATTAAAATTTATATATTTTTTTACAAATTACAAGTGTAAAATATAAAATTTAAATCTAAATATTATTTTTTAAAATAATGACATTAATTAATTAAATTAAACTTCTAACTTCCGCACTCTTTTTGCACTTTATCATTTAAAATTTTAGAAAAAAAAAAAAAACCCAAAGTCCAAATTATATAATTTTAAAAGAAAAAGTTAGAAAAATGTTGTTTTTTGGAGGGTATAAAGTAAGGATTTAGATTTTAATGTATTCGTTAATATATATATTTTATATATTATCAGATAATATTATTTTATTAATAAGTAATTTAAATTTGATATCACAATAATAAATAAAATTTTTTTAAAATTATTAAAATTTTATATTTATTTTAAAAATTAATGTTTTCCCATTAATATCTTATCTCCTGACGGTGTATAAAAGGCATCAAATATAAACTCGTTAAGTAAAGGAACGTCAGTTGCGGGGTGAAAATTGGGAGTTAAAGCCTTAAAGGCATGTGGGCAAGAGGAGGGTTTAACCAGAAGCTTTTCAACTTGCCCAAAGCCCTCTTGCGCCCTCTCATGGCTACCTCCAACCTTATTAAGGTTTCTTCCCCCGCTTATTCCACTGGCTCCCCAAACAACGTGCCTTCTAAGCGCGTTGGAACACACAACGGCAGCTTTCACTGTGACGAGGCCCTTGGCTGCTTCATGATTCGTCTCACTGACAAGTTTTCCGACTCCGAGATTGTCCGTACCCGAGACCCCAAGGTCAGTTTTTTTTTCCTATTTCTTCTGTTTGGTTGCCGAAAATTTGTAACGAAGTAAGAAAAAATGCAAATTATAAAATGGGTTTTCTTTCGGATCTAAAAAATGTGTTTCTTTTGCTTTTCTACGAAGTTAGTTTTCTTGTCTATTTGTTTGCAAGTTTTATACAAGTTTCGCCCATAAATTCCAAAACTTGAAATGTAGTTGGATTGGGTAGTTTATTAAGGGATTCTTGTAGTTTATTTTGTTCTCATTTGTGTGTGTGTGTGTGTTTTTTTTTTTTTTGTGCTTCCTCTTTGAAGGTCCATTATAAGATTGATCTGAGTTTTGCAGGAATTGGAGGGGCTTGATGCTGTGCTTGATGTGGGAGGCGTTTATGATCCTTGTCATGACCGGTATGATCATCATCAGAAAGGATTTGAGGAGATTTTTGGTCATGGATTTAATACAAAGCTTAGCAGTGCCGGACTTGTTTATAAGGTATTCATTTGTTACATGAGGCAATTAAAGATTCCTTCTCATTGTTCTCTTCTTGTTGGTTTTTATGTTTTTCTATTCTCATCCAATTTGGTCAATGATGTTTTTCCGTAGTTTATGATATTTCTTGATTATCAGTCAAAATTTTCCTCTATTTAGCATTTTGGCAAGGAGATAATAGCTAAAGAGCTTCAGCTTGGTGATGACCACCCGGATGTGCATAGATTATTTCTGGCCATTTACAAAAGCTTCATGGAGGTACTTACTTCTTTGATTCTTAAGTTTTAAAGGGTTTGAATTCCATGAGTTCTAGCTGCTTTGTGTGGAAGTAGATTAGGATCTTATGGTTAAACAAATATTACTATCTAGAGCTTCAACATTCTGAAACTGGTGCAAAAGAGTTTTTACAGATTATAAATTCTGAGCTTTTTTGGTTTTATTAGCAATGAAAATCTCTAGATTTGTTTTGTTCAGGTTGGTCGGACAGGATTAATGCCATGGGCTTCCTGCTCTTTCCTTGGTTTTCATTTTCCTATACTAAGTTATTATGGATTTAGATGTTCATTTGGGTGTTTTTTTTTTTTTGCTTTTACCAGGCAATTGATGCAATTGACAATGGAATCAATCAGTTTGATACAGACAAGCCTCCAAGATATGTGAACAACACACACTTATCCTCTAGGGTTGGAAGGTTAAATTTAGACTGGACAGACCCTGATCAATCACCTGAGAAGGAGAATGAGGCTTTCCAACGAGCAATGGTTCTAGCTGGTAGTGAGTTCTTAGATGTAAGGTTCTTTCAAAATTAAAAACATAGATGTAAGGTTCTTTCAAAATTAAAAACATACCTACGTATACAATTATTAGTATGGTTTTCATTTCTAAAATCCTCGATATGGATTGTTTTGTTTCTCTTCAGAAGGGATAAAAGTATGTACTGTATTCTTCTTATTTTAAAAGTTTGATGACCTTCTCCAAATTTCAGAGTGTCCGGTTTCATGCAAAATCATGGTTACCAGCAAGGTCAATTGTGATGGAGTGCATTGCAGAGAGATATGATATAGACCCCAGTGGTGAAATTATGGTTTTGAAAAGGTTTTGCCCTGTAAGTAGATGTTTCTAATTTTTCTTTCTTGTAATTTTCTTTTTCCACTAATCCTGCATGTGTATGGTATATGTGCTTCATTCCATTTTTGTCTGTATATGCATCTCTTCACTAGAGGAAAGTGAGCTATCTTGGCTTATCGAATTGCTTGTATATAAATATAGTCATTTTGGTCCTTCAGTTGGTTTTAATTTTTATCAAATGAGCAGTGCAATTTCCAGTAGAATGTGAGATGAATCTATTACTGACAAGTGACTGTGGCTTATTCTTGACTTACCATTAGTCCATTATACATCATTTATTTACAGCTAAGTATGATTTCATTTTGCTTCGAACAGTGGAAGCTTCACTTATTTGAGCTTGAGGAGGAGATGAAGGTTGAGCCTCCTATTAAGTATGTTCTTTATGAGGTATGTATTTAGACCTATCTTCCCTTCAAATATGTTCTAGAATGTGCTGCCCTAGATTAAATACTAGTGTCAGACAAAGGTTTTGTATTCTTCTCCTGTAGCTTATGTTGTTCACTGTGGTTTCTGGATCATCTAAGTTGCAGTGATTTTTGTTCTTTTCCAGAGTTTGAGATAGATTCTCATTGTTCTTGTGGCAATGTATTTTGCAGGATGAGAGGGGCAAACAATGGCGAGTTCAGGCAGTAGCAGTATCTCCTGATAGATTTGAGAGCCGGAATCCTCTCCCGGCTCATTGGCGAGGTCTGAGGGATGATGAACTCTCGAAGGAAGCCGGAATTCCTGGCTGTGTCTTTGTCCACATGAGTGGGTTTATCGGTGGAAATCAAACTTATGAGGGTGCTCTAGCGATGGCAAGAACTGCTCTGAAGATATAATCTTGGGAGGTTGATTTTATTTGTCTTTCACTTGTCATGGTATCTCTTACGTCATTCTATTCCAGGACCTGGATTATTTACAAAGTTTTGTGGCTTTATTGATTGCTCTTGGATTCATGTTATCACATCATTTATAGCTGATTTTTTGGAAACAAGTCAAAATTTAGGAGGTAAGATGTGAACTTTTCTTTTCTTGTTTTCATAAAATGTAAAATTAAGTGTAGGAAAAAAACAGAGTCCAATTAAGATATTTGGATTTTAAATTTCAAAACAAAATGGAATTGGAACTTCGGTGTTAAAACTTGGGTTTGTTTGATTAGTCAATAAAATCCCTAATGAACTTAGGAATCATACACATCACAAAATTCAAGATGTCAATATGGCTTTGATTAATTATTTTCCACTAGAAAACTTGATTAGAAACAATCCAAAGGATATGAGTTAAGAGTCTTTGCATTTCTTCCCCAATATTTTCTTCGCATGGCCCTATCACAGCCAATGGTATTGGATTTTTCTGCTGCTTGTTCTTTCTGTGAATGAGACATTGGACAATGTTGAGTTGTGAGATTTATTCCTTTGGAGCGGCAGCTGGGCAACACTATGCACTTCTCTTCACTTCACCATCACAAATGTAAGCCCTGCAGAATCCATCTCTTAAAGAAAACCTATTAGACTTTGTTCTCTTTCCAAGCCTAGCCATGGCCTCATTGCCACCAACCACCAAAACCCTCAAAGCTCGTCTCAACAACGGTGACACCCTCTACGGTCTCTTCTTCATGAGTTTCTCCCCTACTCTGGCCGAAATCTCAGCCCTTGCTGGCTACGACTTCGTAGTCATAGACATGGAACATGGCCACGGTGGCATCTCCCAGGCGCTCCCTTGTCTCCAGGCTCTATCCGCCACCCAAACTCCTACCATCCTCCGCTTGCCCGAAAATTCCCCATCGTGGGCCAAGAAAGCCCTCGACTTGGGCCCAGACGGCCTCATGTTTCCCATGATCGACGACCCAGAATCCGCCAGAAACGCCGTGACATACTGCCGCTACCCTCCTGCTGGTATCCGCGGCGCCGCACACCCAATTGTGAGAGCTTCAAAGTACGGCCTTGACGATGATTACTTGGCAAAGTGCGAGAGTGAGCTACTGATTATGTGCCAAGTGGAATCGGAGAAAGCAGTGAAAAGATCTGGAGAGATAGCAGCCGTTGATGGGGTTGACTGCGTGATGATTGGGCCGTTGGATTTGAGTGCCAGCATGGGGTACCTGATCGACCCTGGGAATGAGAAGGTGAAGGATATTATGAAGGTGGCAGAGGAAGCAGTGTTGGCCGGCGATGGCGCCTATCTGGCTGGGTTTTCTATGCCGCACGATCCACCGAATGAGATGAGGAAACGTGGGTACCACAAGATTTGTGGTGGGGTCGATTTGGCATTGTTTAGAAATGCTGCCCTCGAGGATGTAGAGAAGTTTAAGAAAATAGTCTAAAGTTTTTCAATGCTTTGAGTGGCCTCTTCTCTATCGAATGTACAAAACAACATCACTTTGTTTGGGAGGGAGACTTTTATTAATTGGAACCTTAGGGTTACACCACATCATCATCGTGTATCTTTATTTTAAAACGAAGAAGTCAACCGTTTTCTTACTTTTATTTTTTATATAGATTAACTAATGATTTTTTTTGTTTTTTTTGTTTTTATATATATAAACGTTAATTAATAAAAACTTATTTTGATCCTTTAAGTTTTTAAATTAAACAAATAAAATTAATAAAACGATATATATTAAAAAATAAAAAATAGAGCAGAGCCCGAGTGGAAAAATGTGTTAATTAATACCATTACTATTTATTTTTGGGTGGGATTTGATCCGATACCCTGATCCCATATTTAAAAAATAAAATAAAAAAAACACTAACTACAAATGAAAAAGAAAAAAAATATATTTGCAAATTCCCCGGGAAAATCATAAAACAAGGGGATCCGCCTAGATTTAAGAATGCAAACAGGGACACACCCACCAAACTCCTCGAAGACAATGTCAATTTCTGGGTTTCGGAGGGAATAAACTTCTAAACACTAGACTGTTTTAGAGCTTGCAGCCAAACGCATTTTCTTGTTATAACTGTTGGGGTGTAATTTGTTTGGAATCTGATAGACAAGGAGTATCTTAGAAGATAAGAAGTTTGAGGCTTCTGTTTTTTTCATTAAAAAAGAATGGCAGAAATATAGTTTATAGGTCATGTTTAATTCAGCTAATATCTGCCATTATTCAAAAAGCATCTGGGGTATTTATTTTTTCATGCTAATTGTTGACATGTAAAATATATATTGTAATGTAAGTCATTATTAATTGATATCGGTCTTTTGAGCTTTCATCAAACTTTCACCTCATTTTGTTATCATAAGCATGCTAAAATGGCACTTGTTTTGCTCTTGTTCCGTGACAAATCTTATTTTGAGCAATGATGAAAAACTAGAGCAGGTCCAAATATTGCACGTTTCTGCCAAAATTTGACTTTTAATAGCTTGTTTGAACCAATTCTTCCTGGAAACAGTGGCTAGAGATTGGAAAAAACAGAATGGGATTATACAATGTACTGAGAAAACTGAATAGTATTGCCTTCGTATGGTATCTATATCATTGCACAAAGCTGGTTCTGCTCTGAATTTCACCTGTATATCGTGTTTTGATTTCGAAAACTAGCTAACAAATCCCAGTAGGTGATAAGGAAGATAGAGTCAGGGCAGTTTGAATGATAGATAAGTTGATAACACACGGGGCACTTAGCCCAATCTTATTGCATTTACTCGAAGCTTACATAAAAACAAAAGGTAAAAAAGAGGGTGATGCAAAACATTTTCTACCCTTTTAGATGATAAATATATGCAAACAATTGATCCAGTACAAGCAAGCAACGGCTGATCCAACTTGAATTGGATGTCATTTATGGAACTGATAAGAAATTTTCTACTAAACTTGGTCCTGGCCGAAAAACAGAGAAAGGTATGATGTAACTTATGAAAGCATATTTGAAGTAAGAGCAGGAAATTGAAGATTCAAAGTGATTTGTCTCTTTTGGTTTGATAGATTTTAGACATTTATTTAATTAAAAAAAATTATAGACGATTAACCATATGAGAGGGGACAAGTCCTCAATCCTCACTGTTTTCTCATGTCCAATCTAATCTATTTTCATTTTGATAAAACATCCCTACTTCCCTTGTTCCACAATCTTCCGAGTTCCAACCTTACATTTCCCTTTTGAGCACGGCTGGGAATGAGCATCCAACTTGGCCATGTGACAGTAATACATTATTAGCCGTATGATTGATTTCCTACCCTCCAAAATGCTATATTTCCCTTTCTATTCCAAGTCTTTTGAGGACTGCTTAATTATGCAAGGAAAAAATAAAGTTCCACGACTTTAAGCATACAGCTAAAAATGATTTCATTTAAGATCTCTGTTTCATCAAGTTTTTGATCCACCATCCATTTTCTTATGTTTGAACAGTTATATTTTTCCATGGTCGTTTGTTTAACTATGGACCATTTAAAAGAACTTGCTGAATTCTAAATCCCTCGTGGAGGAGGGCCTTCAGGTAAATTACTCTGCAACATGTTCTTTTGGCTCCACCCTGTCCCTGAGGCCAATAAGATTTCACTTTTCCATCGTCCTTGAGTCAGTGTCCTCGCTCCTAAATTTGAGAAACAGAAAAAGTTAAAGAGTGAGAGAAAAGGTAAAGATGGCCAATCTTAGAAGTCCTGTACACCATTTCTTCAGTGCTTTTCAGTTTCTTTTGTTAGTGCAAACCAAAGTCCTATGCTATCAGTACAAGGTTGAGGTTTAGATGCATGGGGTATTCCCACATCAGCAAACCCTCAGGTATACGCCAAATGGTCCAAGTACCACACCTTCAAGATTGGAGACTCTCTCTGTAAGTTTCCGTTCCATTTATCTCTTTCTTGCCATGTATTTTAGTTTCTCTTCTGATTCTCATTCTTTGCTGATTACTTTTCTCTTTGCAGTGTTCTCATACCCACCAACTCAAGATTCAGTTATTCAAGTCATGGAACAATCCTACAACTCTTGCAACCTCAAAGATCCAATCCTGTACATGAAAAATGGCAACTCTCTCTTCAACATCACCAAAGCGGGGGAGTTTTTCTTCACCAGTGGGGAGCCTGGTCACTGTGAAAAGAAACAGAAGCTATACATTTCTGTGCTTTCAGGGAATGGCTCTGCGTACGCTCCCTCCTATGGTCCGAGTGCATTGCCTGAAACTGCGTCTTCACCCTCCTACTCCAGTCTTTGGCACAATCCCTCAACTGCCTTCTTCTTCCACCTCGCTAGGATTCCGACTCTTCATTACAGCTGTTATTGCATCATCCACGTGGGCAATAATCAATGGCATGATGTGAAGAGCGTGGCTAATCTAGTGTCAAATATTCAAACCCATGTGGAAAATATTATTTTATCTCTTTCTTTTTTTGTATTTAGCATTTATTTCTTTCTCATTAAAATGTTGGTTTTAAAGTCTGATTTATTGGTTCATATCATAATTTCTAGGATGTGTGATTCTTTTCAATGATCGCTCTTCAAAGAGAATGAAATAGGTGGGGGAGTAACAGAGTACTTGTCTTACTTTTACGTGTTTTCATGCATTAGATTTACAGACAAGACAGAATCTATGAGCTTGAAAGAAGGGATTGGACATCTTCTTTTGCTCTTTTCTAAGAAAAAAGAACGAAGGACAAACACACTTATGCGGTAAAATACTTCGTCTTCAACTGTATAGGTCCGAGAAAACACCGCCTGAAATTACGGTTGTGACATTGAGAGCGCCATGTGACAGCTGGTTATGATTCTTGACAATTCCACACCGACGGCTCATTGTCTCTTTTATGCAGTGGATCATGGTCACAATTTTAAACTTAGCATCAATTCAGATAGATTGAAATATACAAGAAGAGGAGATGCGATGATTAGTTCCAACAAGTTTGACTACTAATTTATCAGTACAGCCCAAGTAATGAAGATGCATAGGAAGGAGAGGAATCATTACTAGGGGGCTTAAAAAAGGGACTATTATTTTGATGCATGATATAAAATTATTACACGTGAACCACGTGGCAAAAATTAGCCAGAGGATAACAGTCCCTCTCAGGCACTATTGAATAAATGGTAACAACCCTTGCAGGGAATCTCAGTAATCATCATGTGAGACACGATTTAACAGTGTTTCAGCTTGCCCATATTAGCCATCTATAGCCATTGCCCTCTCTTCAGGAGCATGGCCAGAGTCTGGAGCAGAAACCAAGGATCTGCGAACTGTTGCTCTTGATCTGGTCGCAAAGAATCCTAGCAGGTGTTAGTGTCTATTTCCATAGCAAAAGCTCTGGGAGGAGAAGCCGGCTGCACATCTACCAGTGGGTAAGCAGCCTTGTACCTTGCTCGTAGGCCTTCATCAACCAGTCGAACTCCATTCAACTGATTACCAATTGATATCCATCTGGTAAACGATAAGAGTGGAAAGGAACCGCTTATCAGTGGAAAATTGTGGATACTCAAAATCTTAAAAAAAAAAAAAAAAAAAAAGAGAAAGAAAGAAAGGGGGCTCACCAGGCATTTGGCTAGTTATCACTGACCACTATATTTTTGGATACCGAAAAACATGAGCAGGCTAATTATCGGGGAGAATTACACATTAGGTACTGAAAATAACAAAACGTCACATATATTTAATTCTTGAGACCTGTAGGCCTTTCATCTGTTTATTCTCAAAGCATGCCCTCTTGCCTCTTGGCACCCTATGATAGATGATATAATATATTTTAATAATTTTAAAACAAGAAAAATGAGTCAAGACACCCCACCCTGCATGAGTATTATGCATGCGAGCAAATAATTCCAGCTTCCTTGTCATTGGACTTATTCTCTCCAGCATAGGGTACATCTGCAGGTTTATGTTTCCATTAAGGTAAGTTCTTGTGTCACGGGTCGAGACTTAAACTCCGAGCCCGCGTGGCTTCGGGACCCGGACATTCACCCTTTCGGTGTCTCGAATCAGCCTGACCGTCACGGTTCACACCCTTGTGAGATATTGTCCGCTCTAGCCCCCTTAACCTCACGGTTTTATCCTACAAAAGACGCCTCACAAGGCGGAGATATGTGGGATTTAAGACTCCCCTTAGGTCCGTGACATTCTCCCGCACCCAACCTCGTGACGCCCTCGTCACGAAGGCTAGCCACCCTGCCTACCTCTCTCGAGGTGCTTGGCGTGGATCGAACGATTTAGGACTAGCTCTGATACCACTTGTCACAGGTCGAGACTTAAGCTCCGAGCCCGCACGGCTCTGGGACCCGGGCATTCACCCTTTCGGTGTCCCGAATCAGCCTAACCGCTACGGTTCACACCCTTGTGAGGTATTGTCCGCTCTGGCCCCCCTGACCTCACGGTTTTATCCTACAAAAGACGCCTCACAAGGTGGAGATGGTGTGAACCCTTTTATACCCTAGTGACCTTCCTATTATGTTCGATGTGGGATTTAAAACTCCCCTTAAGTCCGTGACACTTGTACTACACAACAGGGACATTGCAAGCACATAAAGCATTACAACAGTAATAAAGTTCAGGCCGTTTTGTAACGAAATGTTATTGCTTCTAAGCATTTCAAAATCAGTATGCATGGCTATCATCATCCTTAAGCCAACATTCTGACACCAAGAAGTGGTAAATAAATAATGTTATAATGGATGGTCAAACAATCGATGGTATGGAATAAGTTCTACAAACCTCATCTGGCTTATGATTAGTCTCTCGAACCTCGGCAACAATGACATCAGTATCAATATTCTTGTTTATTTCTGGATTTCCCTTAATTCCTACAAGGCAATGTTCCTTACTATGATTTAACCAATGACCTGTTCTCCCTGTTCTAATTAAGTTGATTTGTTTTCACCCAAATAATATCCTCACACCGCTTGTACCCCCAAAGTTCCAAACTGCAAGAAGCATGATTGCTTTTACAATTATGAATAAAAATTTTAAGGCTTTTCTCATCAAAAAGATAAACTAAACATTAGATATTTAAATTAACTAACAACCAAAGTAAAGCAAAAACCATTCACGTCCTAGCTCCATGCACATCCAGTGACCCAAAGGAAGATCAGACCATCAGTCTGCAACGCGAGGAACATTAAGATCGCGCATTTCATCATCAGCCATTGTTCCATAAGGCAACTCCATATGAATACCCCATGGTGGATCTGCCATGATGACACCAAAGCTGCCCCAAAATGTCCATTTCTAAAATTCCGGATATCACCATTAATCCATTGTGGTTCACCTATTCCAGTTCTGAACAATATTCAGCACGCTGAGGCTTTAAAGGTTTCTCAGGACCAAAATCATCTTGTGTTTGGTCAAGCTCGTAATGGACATGTTTGCATGTCTATCAAACAAGGTTAGATTGCATTACTCTCAAGTTGTAGTCGTAATAAGAAGACATTAGAATGAAAGCTAGTAAAAATTGTTTTAAGAAGCATAAAAAATTACCTTCATATGTCCGCAAGTATCTAGAAATGAACAATCCCTAAACTGATGTCAGTACGAGGAGCAATTATGAGCTTAAAATGAATCTGAAAAGAGTTACAAATATAGTAAACAAGATTGCAAATAGGCAAATCAGGAGTCCTAAAAAACTATCTCTAAGGATCCTTCTAAAATGCTAGGCAAATGACTTGAGGAAGTTCAAACTAATGATAGCACCACATAAGACACAACTATATACTATGACAACCATTTCTATGAATCCAATAATAACACTATAGGTTAAGCCTCAATGATGCAACTCTTCAGGCTACTGGATATATCAAAAGTTAGAACGAATGCACTAAATTATCAAATTTTCATCCCTACTAACAAGAGGTAAAGAAATAGGCTTTTGATAATTGTTATTTAATTAATTAGATACTCTTCATTTTCTTTTGAAAAGAGAAACAGTTTACTCTAAAATATTGAACATGTTCTCATATTTTGCAGGACATCACTAAATCGTCAAAGGGACCTGAAGTGTATGTTGCAGCTTATCCCTGAAATGCAAATTGGCAACCATATGCAAGCTCTTTCATTCCAACAAAAGAAATTGTTACCATACCTTCTTACATGCAAGAAACTACCCAGACTGCTTTCGACAGTCCTCCTTCGTTAAAGCAGAAAAATACTCCCTCACTTGAGAACCACCTTTTGCTTTTAAACTGTACCAAATAATTGAACAGAATCACCAACCAAATAAAGAACAACTAAATAAAAAAAAAAAGAAATACTTAATAAACTTCAATATACCTAAACTTCCTAATTTTGCAAAAACCAAATATGTATTTATGTTTCAAGTGTTACACAAATTATGACACTATAATTTTCGTATTTTATAAGATAGATATAATAGACAGACAAGGATACAGGAATTGCCGCTTCTAAATATACCTTAGAAGCCACAGCAGTTTCCTTAGCAGTTGGGCGGTTAATGTTCCAAAATCTCCTCATCCGTCTTCGACTTCTGCACTTCCTTAAACGACTTCTTATTCAAGAAAGCCTCCAAATCCTTCATATCGTCTTCCTTAGTCCGCTGTCTCTGCAAAAGACCATTGTTTGGACCCATCGGCAGCCTTCCAATCATCCCAATTCCCCGACCCCGCAGTCCAGCCATTGGCCCACCCGGCGGATGCATCATGCCAGGGTCTCCTCCCATCCAAATTTCACTCATGGGCCTCGGGGCCATCCACTCATTATCACTGTTATTATTAATTTTCAAGCTCTCACTTTCGTTAACGTTGTTTATCCGTTCTCTTTTTTGATGATTTTGAGGTTCTTCAGGTAATTCTCGGA